AAAAAAAAAATAGCGAATTTCTTTAGCCTATAACCATGACTGGGACGTCTGAAGCAGGTATCCGGAATTTCAAAAAAATCGGTTTGGCCGTTCTCGAGCTTTGCGGACACAAAAAAAAAACCGGCTTTCAAAATATATATTATTATAGATTATAGATTGGTATGAAACGAATTGGTTTTGAATATGTATCAGAATATATATGAGTGTCACACGAAACAGGTTTAAAAAGATTTCCAACTGTTTAAAAGGTTAAATTCAAACTTTTCAATAATTTAAATGAATTACTACAATATGGGTATCGATCGAAATGGCTTTACAATGGCTTCATTTTAAAACTACATATAAGGGGTTTCCATCTGTTTAAAATCTCAGACTGAGTTAAGGGGATATGTTAATTGAAAAAGTATGATAAGTTAGAAAGAAAGTTTTATGTATTTTGAAATTATTTATTTTAGAATTAAACCTCCTTAATTGAGTTTTCTTGAAATAAATTTTACTCAATGTAGCTCGAGAAATTTCATACAATCAGCGAAGCGGGTGAGGGCGATCTAGTAAACTATATTTTTTATAAAAAAAAATAAGAAAAATTTGGTATGGCAAATAAAAACAAATAATCGTCAAAACGTGTGGCTTTTTATGTTTTTGACTTTGACTGTATATAAATTGATATAAACTTTGCCTAAAGTTATTATGGTACATTTCTTTTAAATTTATACTTAGAAACGATAAGTGTGGTACCCACACCTCTTTCGGCATGAGTGAAAGATTTTGGAAGGTGCCCCAAACCCTATCTCGGGATTTTTTTTTGGACGCAAACAAAACATACAAAACATACATACCTGACTTTTAGTACTATAAAAAAAAATAAAAATACTAACATACATGCATACATTATTATCATATTTTGACCAGAGAACGGCGCCCTTAATCAACAAAAAGTGATAGTGATAGCACCTAAATATGTGACTGTGGTGATGACCATGCCCATAGTATTATGTGGAAATTGTGTTAATTTGCTTAAAAAACACATTTTCATCTATATATTGCTCAAAATCACCTACCAAAATACTTCTTAAAAAAAAAAAAAACAATAAACCAAAAAGGAGCGCAACACGGCGATAACCGCCTTATCAAATGCAAACAAAAACGAAATGGCTGCGATAACGATGTTATCTGAATATTTTGCAACAGACTTTTATCTACTAATATACGAGCGCTGTTGTGCTACGAAGCGTCGACACTACCAGGAGAAGAAGGTGCATTTGATTTAGTCTGGAAGAGAGAAGCCTTCAAGTAACTGCTTACAGTTTCGCGGTAAAAATAATAACGCTGTTTGCATAGAGAAGTTTGAAAAGAAGTGACTCATTGGAGCGGCCAATTCACATAAGTTTATACTTACAATAAATACATACATACATACTCAAGGTGGCATTCCAATTCAAACAAAAAAAGAAGTGACTTTTTAATTTCGATTGCATTAAGAAATTTGTGATATTTATTACGAAATGTGTTAAAAACAAAATTACTCATTTGGGTTTAAATCTAGCAACAACACAGCACTGAACATGGACTATAAGTATCTGTTATTGGTAAGTCGGAGCTCTTTATTATTCATTAAACTACTAATGCTATATTCTGAGGAAAGGTTCTAACATACATACAGTATTGGTCATATCAATAGAACCACATTTCAAAAGTGGTACTATATGCCACTTATGTTTATATATTTATTGTTAAGAATTTTCATTTTAAATACAACTCATTCCAAACATCCTAACAAAACCCATATAAACCCAAGACAGAAACTTCGTAGAAAACTAAAAAACTGAAAAAAAAATTTTACCCAAATTTTGACCTTTTATCTTGAATTTGAGTAAATGGACGAGTTCATTTGAGTAAATATACGGCATGAAATCCGTTTTCGATGTCAAAAGTCCTACTTGCCTTAGCTCAGTTTTTGTTGTATAAAATGTAGGTAGATTTGATTGAAGGCTTCAGTGCAAATACACACAATGTAAATAATTTAGTCGGCAGGTATTGTAATATATTCGTCTTGCCATTTATAAAGGAAAGAAATAGGAACTGCTTCAAAAATAAAATATGTAAATATACATACATAAGTACATATTTGTTAATTTTCCCCTAAATTCAAGAAGTTCGTTACTTGCAGCCAACAAGTTTTGTAAGAGGTGGACGTCTTAGTGAGCATCTCTTCATAATCTACCACATTAGAAAAATGTGTAGGTTTCGGACAACATGTAAAAATAAGCAAAACTCTCCGAATTTTTTGAAGTTTTCCTTTCTTAAATTTTCTTTAAATAAAGTTAAATTACGGACCATTACAACAAATTTGTTGTTGGTTTAATTTTGAATTAAAAGCACCGATTTTCCCCCATACAATATTTTTAGACGTCATACATATTTTTCAGTTCTTCTCTCCACCGTTTCGAATTTTCATAAACTTTTGCGCCGTCTGAATACGAAATTTGAAATTATAAAGCCGTGTGAACTAATTTACTTGCATTTTCCGTTTAAATTTTCATGGAAACACCCATATGTGAGGCTTTTTTTTTGGTTACAACAAGCATATACTTTGAATTTCATTAAAATCGATAATATTTACCATTTCCGCCCACATTAAAATATTATTTTTAACTTGTCAATTAAATTGATTTTATATTTCAAACAGGTGGCATATTAAAATATTTCGTTTAACTTACTTATTTAATTCATTTTAACTATTTGAACATGCGGCAACCCACTTAAGGGATATTTTCGAAATATTTCGTTTTTAAACTACTTTCGTTTGACATCCACATTGTTGATACTTTATTTAGCTTATTAATTAATCGATTTTAATTTTGTAAACAGGTGGCAGCCCTCTTAAAAATGTTTTCTGATAGAGATTAAATACATGCATACATACATATGTAGCCGAGAACATGGCTATTTATTATGTGGCAGCTCCTAGAATTATTTAAACCAATAATTTGAGAACCGTTTTTAATCTACTTTATACTAATCAGTAAGAAGGGAAAAAATTAAACAATTGCTTTTTGGATCGATAAAACATACTCGAAAATGTATGTATGTATATATGTACGTATGTATTTCTAACATTTAACATGTCATGCAGCTGTCTATGAGTAAAGGGAAAATAGTAGGAGAAAAATGTACGAGTATGACTGATAAGAATTTTTTCAAATAGTAGATAATCATAAATTTTACCCTGAAAAATTGTAACAGTCCCCCACAGGAAAGAAGATACCAATTGTCTTCAAGTTACAATCATAAGAACCGTTGTTTTATAACTAAACAATAAATAGTCTTAAAACTGAAAGTATTGTAATGCTAAGTAGGTAATTTGTAATAAAAATGGTCACAGTATCATCCTTTGTAGAGCAATTGCATTTTAAGAGCTCCGAACGTAATGTACAGTGTATCAATTCTTTTTTGTTCTTCTTTTTTTGTTTTCCAATGTGTGCAAAAAGAAATAATTGGTCGCAGCCTAGGGCCCAAAATGTTAGATATAAATATTCCCTTTCGTGCGTTTGATCCAAATTAGCCACTAGAATTATTGAATTGTTAACCTCCTCATTTCTTTGAAGTCAGTTAAACGCATTGAAAAGGTTACACATATTACACTGTAGGAATGCCAAAAATGACACAAAAAGCGCCGAGACACGTAAACTTAATTTTGAGTCGGATATGTATACCGTTTTTCCAGAACAGGTTATTTCCCCAAGATATGTTCATTTTAAGTTTACATTGCGAATGAAAAAAAAATCAAACTTTCACAAGGAAAATGTTACTAAAAAAATCAAACTTTCACAAGGAAAATGTTACTCAAACTCGTGGACGAGTTCGGCAATGTAGGATGTGTCGTATGAGTTTTTTTATTTCTTGCTCCTATTTCAGAAAAAAATGATTGCACATTTTAATTTGACCATACAAAACTCGTTTGTTTATCCATCGGTTTAATACAAATAAAAACAATTACAAACGATTTGTTACTTTTTTAATTAAATTTTACGAAAATGACCTGATCTGGCACAACGGTATACAGATCCATAATCTACGACCCAAAATAAAGTTTACTTATTTTGGCGATATTCTGTGCCATTTCGAAACTCGAGATTTTCCCTACTGTGTTATTATCAGGCACGTTCTGAAATTCGAATCTTTGAAATCGACTCGATTTGCCAAATATTTTTTAATTATATCTGATGAAAAGAGTGAATATTCTAATTGAAAACTATAAAGGAAGCAACAGCGATATGAAGTAAATCATTTTAATGCGAGACTTAAAAATTTTTGGATTAAAAACCATCGAAAAAATTATCGAAATCGAGTCGATTTCAAATTTTCGAATTTCAGATCATGCCTGTATATATTTTGCTATAGATTTTTAAAATTCATTAGTAAAAAAATTGGTTTTGGTTTTGGTTCGTAAAATAATCTATTGTGGATATATCAAATAATATGATAGGCTATGACTGATAAACATTTTTAAATGCCCTTTGATTTTATTTGCCGATAGGCACTAGCTGAGGTTCTCGGACATTTGTGGTGTGCACCCTGATAATATGACACAAATGGAATAACCTGCAGTTTTCCCCACCTCCAAACAGCAGATGGTTTTTATGAGAAGTTTTTTTTTTTAATGGTAAAAATACATATCGTCGTTTAAAGTACAAAACCGCGTAACTGACATTTTTTGCCAAAAATTGAATTTGCTGAAATATACTAGCCAGAAATGCGATTGCTTTATAAAAGATAGAACCTCTTTGAAATATGAGTGTTTTTACTCTCTGCAAAATAATTTATGCAACCAAACATACGCGGTTTTGCATTATGTTGATACGCGGTTTTGTACTTTAAACGGCGATATGTACACCCCGAGCGTTGTCATTTTTTTCTGAGCGGCGACCGATTTAGAAAACAGATTTTTTTTGTGGTCGCATCTTAGGTCCTGGATATAAAAATTCACCAATTTTGTTTTATATAAATTTATTAGATCATAAAAGATTTAAATCGGTTATAAAAACGTAGTCGTTTTTATTACGGTTGAAAATTATTTCTGATCGAAAACAAAAATATAAAAATCACATAATAACGATTAAATTTAGATTTCATTAATTAAATTTAGACTTTATTATAAAAAGTTACAATTAAAATGCATGCGTGATGGCCTAAGTTTATTAAACTCTTCAACTTTTAATTCTACAAACTATAATTTGCATCTATTAAATTTGAATTGGATTTATGTATGTTTTTATTAGAAACACAGTCAAAGATAATTAACAAATTTTAAAATTTCTTATGCCTTATTTTTAACTTTATTTCTCAGGTTCTTTCTTTATCGGTTATACTAATACTCTCTACTGCTCAACACGAAAATATACCCTACGAGGATGTGCCAGATATTTGTGCGAAATGTGTGTGCTTAACAGCACATGACACTGATAAACGCTACCACCACTTGTTAAGTTGTACTTCAAAGAAATTTCAGCACATTTTAGCGCGATGGCCAGAGGAATTTGGCAAGAAGCACGACAGTAAGGGCAATACAAATTTAAAAAAAAAAAAATGTTAATTGTTGCTTAACATAGTACTGGGGATTTTTTAATTTTCTAGATGTGGATATTGTGGCCACTTTCTCGGGCAATAATATAGAGCTGCTGCAGCAATTGCCAGCCACAAACGCCACACTGACTTTTTCATGTCGCCATTGTGGCATCAAGTACCTGCAGGCGCCCACTTTCATGGATGTGCCTTTCATACGCAGACTGGATTTGAGTTGGAATGAAATTGCTAGCGATGAGCTGACGCCTGATGTATTTCGTGGTCCATATCGGGTGACGCATTATGAATCCATAGCATTGGTTGACTTGGATTTGAGCCATAATCAGCTGCATGCACTGGATCGGAAAATCTTCGAACACACAGCAAATTTAACAAAATTAAATTTGAGCTACAATGAATTTAGGGTTTTGAATGCGCCAACGATTTCGGCGTTGTCATCGGCGACGGAATTGCAGGTAGCAATATCATGAATAAATACTCATCCCCTTAAATTTCGGCTGTATTTCAGGAACTTGATTTGTCCCACACTGCCATTAAATCATTGTCGGCTGCAATTTTCAAATCATTAGTTAATTTGCGCATATTGAATTTGTCTGGAAATGATTTGACCAGCGTGCCGGATAAGCTCCAATTAATTGGCAGAAGTCTCGTGTCTTTGAATTTGGCGCAAAATCCCATTGCACGCTTTACGGAGGAGAGTTTTATTGGACTGAAATCACTGCAGCGACTAAATATCAGTTATATGCCAGTGCTGAAAACGATCGGTAAAAGTGTATTCACACGCTTGGAAACGCTAAAGCGACTGGACTGTTCACATAACCCGAAATTGGTTGAATTTGATTTGGAAAGTCTTACTCATAGCAGTAATCTGACAAATGTATGTAGAAATGCTATTTTTCGTTTAATATTTAGTAATTAACAAAACGTTTTATGTAGCTTTGTTTAAAAAGTGCAAATTCGTTATGATTTTTATTTTTCCGATTTGAATTCGACTTTCTTTTCATCAAAAATAATCCGTTAAACATATGTATCTGACCGTTTCCTCCAGATTTCATTTTTCCGAGCACACTAAATGTGGGACTATAAATAATTGTTATTTTAGTCTTTTTTCGTACTAACCATTTTAATAAAAATTAAACTATTTCTATCATTACTACGGTGACCAACTGTAATTTAGTTCAAAGGACAGTTCTTTTTACCAAGGTTCTACACTTTTTCTTTGAAAGTACTTTTTTGATACGATATCATAATACATCAATGCATTTCATATATGGTATGTATTACAGCCTGATACATACAAACTTTGAAGAAAGAGCATAGAAAACAAAATAGTTGGAATTAAACTTGTCGATGCGAGTGGATCCATGGATCCATGGATGGAATGGTGCACCATTCTTATTGAAGAAAATGAAAAAATGTGAAATTAAGGTTTTGCAAAGCTTATTTTGTTTTGTTGTCTAATACTTCACACAGTGATTCACTATAGATTAAGTTACGACTTGCCCAGAATATAAGGTTAAGAGGTTGACGGACATAATGACCGACGCCTTTAACTGTAGCTGACCGGGGACCAAGCCGCTCTCAGCTCTCCGGAAGGAGGTGTGCACGCTATTCAACAAGGCCAAGCGCACGGGATGCTGGGAGGAATACACAGCTAAATTAACGAGCTACTGATATAATAGATCAGGTAGGCTAAGATAAAAAGTTTCAGAACCTTCTGTGAAGGTATCTCGAACACTCTAGTACCCGCGAGGTTAAACAAGGATCTAGCCAGAACGACGGTCGATTCGGAACTAGCACTTAAGCTTCCAGATGGCATCTATTCATATAGCAATGATGAGAGGGCAGCCACTCGGTTTACAACACACTTCCCGGAGGCTATTACCTTTGAACTGGAGCCGGAGGTCCGGCGAACTAGACCACGACCATGTGACTGGAAACTGGCAAGAAGTTTTTTCACCCAGAACACAGCCCTGTATCAACTGACAACCGAAATTCAGGGGGCTATTGAATGCGGAGAAACAGTGCTCTGCGCTTTTCTCGATATAGAAGGGGTGTGTGACAATACGCCGCACTCTGGAGTGCGCAGAGCACTAGAAAAGAGAAACGTGCAGCCAGTGATCTGCAACTGGGTGGATCGCTGCTGCGTACTCGCGTTGCTGAAACCAAGGAGGGGGACAGCGTGATACAACTACTAACAACCAAGGACCTCCCTCAGGAATCGGTTTTATCCCCTCTTCTGTGGAGCTTAGTGGTTTATGAATTCCTTCAGCTTCTCTCTGACAATGGTATCCGCTGCCAAGGCTATGCGGATGACATAGTGATTATTGTCAGGAAAAAGTTTGAGAGCACCCGCTGTGACATTATTCAAAGAGGTCTAAGATTAACAAAAGGATGGTTTCCAAGTTACGCCTTAGCATTAATTCGGCCAAAACCGCCATCATCCCTTTTACTCGCCCGGCAGTGGGCATGAGGGACATAACCCTGGAGGGGGTCGCGGTCAACGTCCAGGGAGGAAAATCCTGAGGTCGTAGCCCCAAGACCTTCTTGATGATAGTACAGCCAATGATTGATTACCTATGGGGTGGTGGCTCACTAACCTACAAAGACTGGCATGTGTATGCTTAACTGGAGCGACACGCCCTTATCCGACAACAGCGCTGGAAGTATTCCTCGAAGTCGAGCCTCTTCACATAACCATAGAGCAGGTAGTCAAAAGAACTCTGCTTAGTTTTGCTAGAGAGGGATGTGGAAAAGGAAAGGTCATATCCTCTAGTAATATGGAGAAGCTAGGGTCCTCGCTCCCGCTTGTTCTGTTCCCTAGAGATAACATAGGAATAAACATAGCATTTGAGGTGAGATTCAAGATAAAGTTATGCAGCACAGCAGCCTGGAGTGTCCCCGAACTCGAGGGATTACTCGAAGACCCCAGAAGGAGTAGGGGCTGGAGACTTTGGGCCCAGATCAAGAATCAAGCAGAAGTCTATGCCATCTACCTATGGGCGGAGACAATCATGAGTCTGCAGAATACGTAAGAGGAGTTAAGTTCATGTTCATATTCATATTCATTCAAGTTCATTTTCATGTTCTCGTCGGGTAGAAGAGTGACTTCACGGTTGACCAAAACTTACTCACAAGAGGTGAACGTTGCGGGATCGGGCTGGCGATGGCTACCACGCTCATTGTCTACGACAGCCGCTTTAGCTGGAAAGTTTGGACCCTTAAAGTCACCTACCACGATACGGTTTTCACTCGTGGGGAGGGTACCTTCTTATGTCGGCGCGATATCCTGTCGGGCAGCAAAAACGTTAAATATTTCAAGATCGACATCGTCTGACCGAAAAGCTATGCCATGACATTCTAGGGTAGTGTCCCTCCGGTCTGTCTTCTTCGATGAGAACGCTAGGCCTCCCCCATTTTCTCGCTCGCGACCTTTACGGAGCACATTGTAACATTGCAACATAAAAACGATCGCATATTATCTAAAAAGTTTAAATCTATTATAATCGATCTCTTTTACCAAACAAATAATAAACATCAGAATTAATCTATTTAAAATTCTTTCTTCATATCATTAACAGTTCGATATTTCGTATTGTGCTCTGACTACGATTTCTCTATTCGTGAATGTGACGCAAGAATCGCATACGGACATAGCAACGCTCGCCAAACCATGGCCACATTTGCATACATTCCAAAGCATTGGTAACCCTTGGTACTGCGATTGCGATCTCATTCAAACAATGGAATACATTGGCACAGAAGGGGATACAAAAATCAATCAGGCGCGTTGTGATACACCTTACTTCCTCGCAGGTGCACTAGTGTCCAATTTGTCTTCACAGTATATATGCAACCTGAAAATACCTAAGCAGTACAAAGCCATCCTTGAGGAGCCGCCACGTTTTCTGCGAAAACGCTACATAATATTGACCGTCATCGTAGCGGCTGTAGTGATATCGGTCGGTGTTATGCTTGGCTTTGCAATCGCCGCCATACGCCGGCGACTAAAACGTGATGACTTCGGCGTTGAACCAATACGCTATACGAGTGTGCGCAGTAGTAATTTGTCCGCATTTTCCCAAGGAAATACCAATTCGATAATTGTGAATGGCAATGGAGTGGCGAACGCCAGTGCATGACTGTAGTATAAATGCGTAAATATAAATACTTGCAATTTTGCGTATTTACTATCCTAATTTATAGTGTACATTAAGTATTTACTACAATTTTCTTTTAGTTAAGTGACTTTATTTTTATAAATAATTAAGGTTTATAAGTATGTATAGTTCAGATGCTAAAATGTTTTTGTATATTTTTGAAATTTTGCAAATGAATGCCTTTTGGGTGCCTCCTGTGTCACTACTCATAATTAGAGTATTGATATTTTTACTACCAAAGATGTAATATGTGTATGTATAGTTTGTACAGTATTTTAAAATGTTAAATGAAATATTTGAAAGTTTTTGAAAATAATAATTTATTTATTGCTCTTGTATTACACAACGTTGCACATAAGAATTGCCATTTGTGGTATGTTTGTGTACTTAACTATATAACAATAGAATAAGAAAATATTTTTAAAGTTTTAACAAGTTTACCATTTTAAAATAAATCCAACCAAGAAATTAATTTATCAAAAACGGTATTTTTAATCAATAATAGCAAAAATAATTATCGTCTAATGTAGGTTTGAATTTTGTGAAAACGATTTAGTGATTTTTTATAATAAAATTTTCCAAAATTCAAATTTGATTAATGTTTTATGTAGAAACATAGTACATATCCAATATATTTTCTTAAAGAAAGTAGGAACAAATCTTATGAATGCCAAGTACTTAAAAAAACACACTTTGAACAAAAATCATTTTCTTTGCTTTTTTATTTGTAATTAATGGGCGGCCGCTGGAGCCGAGTGGATAGACACACGTACTACCACTCAAAGTTCGAACCCCAGTCTTTTTCTAACAGCTGTTATGTTATCAAAAAGCATACCACAAACAGTTAACAAAAATGTGATCGCCAAATATGTATTTGTAATGAATTTATTCTTAAGGAGCTTTATTCAATTTGGTAACGCTATGACATTACAATACAAGGCATTGAGATTAAAGCTACCTCGGCTTTTTGTGCTAAAAGAGTATACACAAAAGTGTACTTAATCGATTTTAAGGCATAGTTTATGTTGGCGGAGCCGGATTAAATGTGCAGACATAAGCATCCATTACAGTGGCCACACCCAAATGTGTATGAAAGCCGTGTTTTCGTTTACGAAAGCAATGTTTAAATTTAGTGGTATATAAAAGTTCACATACTCTTGCAACGTGAGAGTAGAGTTTAAAATGGAAATTAAAATATAACGGTGAGCAAAAATCCACACATTTTAACGCTAATCTTATCAACCAATAGATAAAGTATACTGGTCGGAAAGTTTGGAAAATTGGCAGCGAAAAATGTGGGGTATGGACAATTAACCTTTTTGTTTATTCATGATTTTTAGTATGACATATTACGACAATTGCGCTATAAAACCTTCGTCTTAAACTTTCATCTCACATCTGGCAAAATTAACTTTTATGTGGATTGAATATTAAATAAGTTACATCTTTAATTCTTAAAAACATTTACATCAATGGATTTGATCCAGTTTAATAGTTTGGGAGTGTACATATACATATTTACAAACAATTAAAATCAAAAACTTGAGTAAGTATATGTAAGCACATACATAGTGCATATACACTTATAAGTTATGCATACATTTGGAAAAATCAACGAATAATAAACACAAAGTAAGAAGTATTGCTAATCAGTAAACTCTTATCTGACTGTTGTTTGCTATGCCATTTGAAATTCTAATTACTTAAGTCTCACTCTATCCTTCGCCGCAACTAATATTTTTCTTTAACAGCGCTTAGTCGCTTTAACATTCACTTTCCAATATTTCTTCATCGCCCATGCTTGTCCTTGGCGCTGTTTCATCCAACTTGAATATATTAATTGCTTGCTTTTGTGCTAGAAAATTGCGCATTTCTGCAAAGTTATCACGTTCCTTTAATTTCTTGTTTCTTCGGTCAAATTCCAAATCAGCGGAACCGCCGCTGTCGCTATCATCACTCTGTTCTACACTGCTGTTACTCATATCTACTGTTTTTTTATCGGTCTCCAAGCTCTTTGAATTCTTGTCTTTACCAAAGAAGTCATCAACATTAATACCTTTGGCTGCTAACACTTGGCGTTCCTTCTCTAGCATGTCATGTCGTATCGGATCGATACGATCTTTTAATTGCTTTAGTACCGGCCGGAATTTTCCCTTTGTTATACGTTTTTCAAAGTTTAGAATTTCCATGTCGTGATCCGTATTACGCTTTGCCTTAGTCTCAGCTTCTTCCTGTTCCTTTTCAGATTTCGCCTTTTGTTCATCATACATGTATGCATAGAAATCATCACTAGTTTCTGCATCATTATGATTTTGAGAAATTTCAATGCGCAAAAAACTTTCAGGATATTCATCTTCGGCGTCTTCGTCCTTTTCGCACTGCAGTGTTGTAAGTTTATCTTGATTGTCTAGTTTGCTATTTAAGAATTTATTGTACACCAACATTAGTCGTTGGAAATCGTCAAAGCAAACGGATAATGCACTTTCTATTGCGCGCATATTATTCGCTACTTGCAGTAGCTGCTTGCCGTTATCTTTTCGTTCTGACTCAGCTTCTGTGAGTCGCTGTAGTGTTATGTCTAGCGCCTGGCATTCTCCAGCAACAGCAACCATGCAAGCGCTTAGTTTAAGTGAAGAGTCCTGCAGCACTGCGACAGGACCGCCGCGATTTTGCATCGTCTTGGTGGCATTTAATGCCTCTAATTCTAGCTGCTTCTTTTTATTTAACTCAAAAGCTAAATTTCTGAAGTGATTATCTTCTTCCTGCACTAGCTGTCGGATGAGACAATCGATTTTAACCAGCTCAGCGTTCAACTCACTTATTGAAGGTTTGGTTGAGATCGTAAAAGCAAGCCGTAACAAAAATTGAGATTGAACATATGCAAATATGTTGTGAAAGTCCTAGAATAGGTAAGCAAAATAGGTAACAATCTTTTTAGTAAAGCACATTTCATACACATACTTTAATATGCTTCGGGCTATAATCCGTAACGTTATTTTTAAAATATTCACATTCGCGCAACTCTTCCATCGGCGAGTAATACTGTGAAAAACGCGCGGGTAATGGATACTGCGCTTCTAATTTGCGCGTCGCTTCATACAATATCTCTGTCACTTCCTTTGCGGATGTAATACAGTCCCATGCACGCTCTATTTGTCGAGATCTGTAATTAAATGCCAGTAATAGTTTAATTTAGTTTCAGTACATTATTAGTTGAGCTCACTCTATTAACTCCTGCTGCTTCATTATAAGTATTTCGTTGAAATAAGTCATATTGCGTCGAATACAATTTCCGAATTCATCAATTGTGCGTATCAAACTATCTAATTCACTCTCAACAATTTTATTACGAAATATAAATATATTTTTAACCATGTAAATAGCACTGAAACTGGCCGTCAAGAGCAAGGATGGTACTAATGTTAAGCGCAATGCTTTCGGCGTAATGAAATGTTCCAAAATGGTTGTACCCAGCAATATGCAAGTTGTCCGTGCCGTGAAGATTTCACCGCTTACTGGTTGACATCTGAAACTTTCACCGGAGATAGCAGCAACGCCTGCACTGCTGGCGTCTGTTTGATCCGGAGCCAACACTGGCTGCTTTACATGCCGCAAACACTGTTCCAAAGCTTCTACATGGTCAACAAGCAATCGCTTGGAATAGAGGATTTTGTTAATAAGATGATCTGTAATAGCCTATCATCGTGACGAGTTGATTAGTGAAAAACGTTCACACAATTGTATAAACACACAATCACTCACCCGCTTTTGCTTCACCTCATCAGTGAACTGACTTCTAAATTGAGGCTGAAAAAATGATTCCATTACTGATGCCCTACCTTCCGTGTGTGATACTGTTGCTCGATTGTTATGCAAACCACAAATTTTCATATCTACACTAATATACACTTTTTAAAAATGCATAAATCGGCGTTTTTGAATAACAGGCGAAAAACTAACCGCTGATACCTTTTTCGGTATTTATTCACATTTAGGGATTTCGGAAAACCATCGATGCATCCAAAAATATCGATGTTTTGCTTCGATGCATCGAAAATTTTCCACCCGATGTATAACTAGTCGATGTATCGATTCATCGATGTATCGATGTTTTTTGAAAACTGACATCTACGGTACATTGAACCGTCATTCCAGTTTTTCAATTGTTCAAGAAAAACAAGTGACTTTGGCCAAAAAATTTAAATGGCTGCAAGAAGTTCCGTTAGAAACATAATTAGCTCAGTTGCAGTAATTTATTTCAAATTTTCTACAATTTCGCTAATAACATATTTTGTTGTGAAACATTATCTGAAAAATCCTATGCAAATCGATGCATTGATGTATGCCTTTCGATGCATCGAAAAATATCGATGTACATTTCAATGCATCGAATCAAAGAAAAACATCGATGTATTTTTGCCACTGAAATCCCTATTCACATTTAATAACACATTGGATTAGGTCGATATCCATCGATATTTTAACAATGCACGATATACATATCTTGTAGGAAAGTGAATGTGGTGCGATTAGTGTGACCACGTGATTAGGAATTCCTCAAAACGTTCGGATGCGCTTGAGTATTTTTTGAGGATTTTTATTTTGAGGAATTTTCTCTCGGTATATTTGCAGAGAACAAATGCAACCATGCTTTACACAACAAAGTTGTTAAATCGCTCCGCAAATTTTTGAACAAAAACTTTCCGAAGTTTTATAAAGAGCTAAATACACCACACAAGTGGCTTGTCGGATATTGTTCAGGCCTTTTTTCCCGTTTCGCCATACACCATGCAAACATGACTCGTTCAAGAAAAGAATTTTAGTTATCTTCCGGTTCACAATGTAAAAGAGTTTGGTTTTCTTTGATTATACAAAAGCCAAACAAAATACACGTTTTTTTTTCATAAAAATATAAGCTTACAATGGATATTTTTTTGATTTTAAATTTACATTTAAGAAAACTCCATTCAGTGCAATATCTACGATTTGAGTTTTTCAGTTTATAGAAACACAAGCGTTAATTATGTTCTTAACTAATGATATTATTCTTAATTAGGCATTGGTATTACACTTCATCTATATTTTGTTCATAAATAACACTTAATTACATACATTTTATCCTCTAAAAGAATTTTTTATAATCATGAGGCGAAACTCCCCACAGTAAGTGTTGCTATGCTCGAAAACGAAAACGCTGCACACAACCCAAAGTACTCCTCGGGGACCAATTGGAGAAAAACTTCGAAAAGGTTTATTACTATATATAATGTGCTACAAACGTACCAACCAGTTGGCCGATTCATTTGAGTGAGAGTTTTTAAACTGTAAACAACACAACAGCACCGGTAAACTACATACCCAGCCAGCAAAATCATCGTAAACGAACTCGAAACTAGATATTTTCTTGAAGAAAACCCGGCTAAAAAGTCGTTTATGATAGCCTACGAACAGTCGTAAACGGATCGAAAAAGCATTCGTAT